AGCTAAATGCCATAAAACAGAAGAAAATATGTTGTTTTTTTAAGAAATTCGGTTTTTCGAATTTTTGAAATTTTTAGATTTTTTACCAAAGGGTGGAGATTTTTAAATAAGTAAAGTATTTTTCAAGAGCCTAAATAAAATGATAAAATGTTTATTTGAAAACTTGTTTTCTTTTATGTGACTTATCATTTGCTGTATATAATAAACCGATTGTTGGCGAAATTAATTATAACAACTATTAGAGAAGTTAAGAATCAAATTTCAAAATTTCGTCTGTATTGCGCTTTCATGCGTGACGTGTTTGATAATTTCTATTTGAAACTGAAACCGGAACTTTGCGAAGGGTGATAGCAGGATTTCCATTCCGCACACATACCCACTTTATGTTTTGATAGTAACCAAAGTACAAGTTGTCAAATTCAAAACTACATTGGTTTTGCTTATTGACATCATATATTGTCTAAAATTTATATTATCAATTCATTTTCAATTTCTCGACAAAAATCATTTTTGTTTACATCCAAAATGTCACAGGAGGCAAATTGAGACAAATCAATTGTTCAAAACAAGGTAATTTGTTATTTTATTTCATTGCAATAACAGGCTTCGTACTCGATAATTAATTTTAAGAAAGTAGCAAAAAGTATCTTAAAAAGAGAAAAAAAGTAACAAAAAAGTAGTCATGAAAAAATTAAACTTGACTCAATTTTTTCTTATAATTTCTTAATCGTAAAAAAAGTATCAATTCAATTTTTTATTCAGCTAAATAAATGAAATAAGTAAAATAAATAAAATTAATGTTAATAAAATAAATGAAAAGGGAATAAATTAAATATTATCGAATTCAATATATAATTCATTACATAAATAATTATTAATTAAAACGCGAAGTAAACACGCGCGCGTTCGGTCTCGTAAATAATGAATAAATAATTTAGTATTCTACGAACTAAATTTATTTTTCCCTGGGTGCATTTTTTAATTAATAAATATATATTTAATAAAAATTAGTACAGGCAGAAATTTAATAAAATTTCAGTTATTAAAAACTTATAATTAAATAATAATTATTATTTTCTTTAAATATTTATTTACTTTTCAGTTTAAACAATAAAAATTGATATTTAATGAAAAATTGTTTAATCCGGCTGGACGCATGTATTACCATATGTTTGAAGATCAAAGAGACTTCGTGCAGGATAATCGTTCACGGTTATTCAGTAGAAATATCGACCAATAGTCAGACGGGAGAAAGCAAACTCACTTGTTTCTTTCTTGCAGGGAAAATTCTCAACATTTTATAACGTAAATTTTTATTTGTCATTTTGTTTCGTTAAAAAATCAGAAAATCTTTTTCTTTATAAAACCATAAGCAAAAAAATTTTATTTTTGCCAATAATCTACGTAGACCTAATAATTAAATAATTTATTTTTTTGTTTCGTTTTATTATTTTTATAAAAAAAAGTTCAAAAAATGTCTGAAAAATTGTTTTCTTTTCTAAACAAGAAAACAATGAAATCATTACCGTTTGTTTGAAAATAGTTATTGTTTTGTCACTTTTCTTCTGTTCTGTTCAGCTTTAATGTGTAAAATTAAGAGTTCAACTTGACCCGATGTATTTATGTCAAGTTGATCTGGAAAAAAAAGCTCACACCTCAGCTTTTGTACGAGTCTCTTTTTTTACATGTACCTATAATATTTTTACGCTCTTCCATGAATTTCATTTAGAAATTCATAGAAACCGACTATAGTTTTTAGAAAACCTAAAATAATTTATTTATTTTTGCTACTTTTCTATTTAAAACAAAAAAAAATTTTTTTCTAATTAGAACAAAATTACAAATAATTGAATTTTTTTAAAATAAAACTGAAATGCGACGTTCGAAATTAATTGAACTCGATGGGGAATAAATCATTAAAATTCGAAAGAAATCAGAGAATGAAAAGGAGATACCACTTAATTAACTGAATTTCCGACAGTGAGAACTTCTACTTTTCAATTGGATACCGAGGGAATAATTCTCCAACAGGTCTTCCATTCTGAGTTCATAATCACGTTTTAAATTCTTTTCACTCTTGTAAAGGATTTTTAAAATATTCCATAAAACTTTCCGACTAACTTTCTTTAAAAACTATTTCTTTAAAAACTAAAATACATTCTCATTTTTATTCCCGAGTAAAATTTTAATTTTCTGATAATTACACATGCTATACTCTTTTTTTTAAGTACACGGTAAAATATTTAAGAAGTTAATTCTCGATTAGAATTCAGAAAAACGAAAAAAAAAAATTCGTCTTAAAAATCAATTTTTAAGACAAATTTTTATTTCGTTTTTTTGCATTCTAAATGAGAATTAACTTCTGAACTTCTGAACAAAAAATAAAAATGTATTACTAATTCTAGTAAATATAGAGAAAATTAATAAACAATTATTTTTTTATAGATATAAATTATTTAAGTGTTATTAATTTCAAAAAGTTATTCATTTTGTTTTTCCTATTTTTGAATTTCCCGCCAAAAACAGTTCTTTAAATAGCCACCTAGATGGCATGAAAATTCTCTCACAAACGGAATAAAGCAAATTCACTAAAATTGCTAGAATTTTTATAAAAAAATTCTGTCTAATTTTCTAATGAAATTATATAACTTTTTCGACTGTCCAATTAAAAAATCCTACAAAAATTTTAAATAAAAGTAAAAATATATATTTAGGTATTAATATATATTTTTGTAAATAAATAAATTAAAAGATAATTTTTTTTCTCACACTTTATTTTCTCTGATTTTATCAAATAATCCCATTTATCTTTATAAATAACAAAATTCTTCTTTAAAATTCAATTATTTTCAAAAATTTTAATAACATTCTTGTCAAAATTCCCAATTATTTTCAGAAATTTTCCTCATTTTAATAATTTTTTCATAAATAATAAAAATTTTACGGGAATTAAATTATTTATAAATTTATAAGTTTCTTCTCAATAATTCAATTATTTTCATAAATAATAAAACTCATCGGAGAATTTCAATTATTTTTAATACAATTTTAACTGAATTCCTTAAAAAATGTAACTATTTTGAAAATTTTTATTAAAATTCGTCAAAAGAATTCAATTATTTAAAAATTTGGTAATAAAAAATTGATTTGAAAATGAATTTTAGTTTAAATTTCAGATAACAATTAATCTATTGAAAATCATCGAATAGTTGCAAAGAATTTTATCAAAAAATTTGATAAAAATAGAATTCCTTCAAAGAATTTTATTATTTAGCAAAATAACTGAATTCTTGCGAAGAATTTTATTAAAATTTTTAAAAATCCTAATTAAATACTTTTGAAGAATTTCTTTGAATTTTTTTTTACTAATGGAGTTTCTTTAATAATTTTAATTGAAAAGAATTTTATTAAAATTATGTAAATTCAAAACAATTGAATTCATCAGAAGAATTTTATTATTTTTTGAAAATAATTTAATTCTGACAATTTTTTGACGAATATATTTAAATATTGCATTCAAAAAAATTTTATTTTTTATATAGAATTTTTAAAAAATATTTTGAGAATAATTGAATTATTTTTAAATAATTTTAAATTCTTGTTGAAATTGAATTTTATGAAAATTTTTGAAAATAATTAAATTCTTTCGTGTAATTTTATTTCAATTGGATTAAAAATAATTTAATTCCTGCAAAGAATTTTACTATTTATAAAATTAATTAAATTCTTGCGAAGAATAAAAATAATTGAATTTTTTCGAAAGATTTATTAAAATTTGAGAAAAAAATTGAATTTTTTCGAAATGCGTTACAAATTTAGAAAAAAAATTGAATTCTTCCGAGGAATTGAATTAAAATTGTTTTGAAAATAATTGAATTTTTGTAAAGATTTTACTATTTAAAAAAATTATTGAATCGTTTAGAAGGATATATTAAAATTTTAGAAAATAATTGAATTGTTTCGTTAAATTTTTAAAAAATTTTTGAAAATATGAACAGTAATAATTAATTTTGTATTTAATAAGTAAATTTTTTAAATTTTGATTATGAAATTATTTGAAAATAAAAAATTTTGCAATTTGCATAACAATAATAAATTGAATATCACGTTCCGCGAGCGTAACATTTGATGGTATAGTTAATAATTTGCTTCATATCGTTTGTGAGAGAACTTTCATGCCCTCTAGACGGAAATTTAAAGAATTCTCTTGGCGCGAAATTCAAAATAGAAAAAATATAATGAATAACTTTTTGATATTAATAATATTTAATTAATTAATAGCCATAAAAAATTGTTTAAATTTCTATCTAACATTCACTAGAATTCATTGCAAAATAAATTCACGTTCAGAATTAATTTCTAAGTTGATATCTTTCGTACAATTTTCAACAGTGATAAAAAAAGTTAAATACCTCAGGGAGGAAAAAAAAATTCTTGTAAATTATTTGTATTATTTATAAATTAGGTAATTATTAATTTTGTAAAAAAAAAAATAATTCTAGACTACTGAAGGGTAAATAAAACAAAACTGGCATAGAATTTCAGACAGAAGAGGGCAGAATGTTAATTACTATCATTGAATGGCGGAGAGTCACACAGAGATTCTATTTAAAGCCAGGTACATCAATTAGAGGTGAATCCATGAGGATTCTAGCAGAGAGGAAATTAAAGAGCTTTTGAAGCTGATTTGCTCGGTTCTGCTGTAGAATCTTTGGTTTTCTAACAAAAGCACTTATTTCCTTTGTGAATAGCACGATCCATAATTACAAATCATTTTTTTCGAATTATTTAATTGTTTCATTGAAATTATACCTATTTTTTTTTTTGCGTCATTAGATTTTAATTACTTTATTTTTTTCGTTGACGAGTGATAATTTCTGATTTTTGTATTCACTATATTGCCACAGCGAGAAAATGGAAAAATTTGTGTTTTTTTTCTACAAATTTTCGATTTTTTGTTTATAGATTAAAATTTGAAGAGAATTTTCGAAAAAACTTACCGGTAATGAAGAGGCTCTCGACCACAACATCGCTAACCATGGTAGGCCTGTCTGTATTAATGAAACTTGCGTTGTAAGGAACAACGACTGCCACATAGAAAGTTGCTATGAGTATTAACCAATCCCAACACGTCTTATAAATCCCATAATGGCTTAAGATATATTGGGATTTCATAATCGCTGAGGTCTTGTACTCTGGAAGCGGCGCTGCCACGGAATGAAGTAGGGTCTGAAAGAATAATTCCACTTTTTAAAAAAATATTTTTCTCCATTTTTATTTAATTTCAGATTTGCGATAAAAGTGTTTTTTATTATTTCCACATTCAATCTCTTTAAAAACTATTAATAAATTTAATTAAAAAAAAGACACTCTCGAAATTTTTTAATTGGAAAATTTTTAATACTCTTATAATAATTAATTATAATTTTAATAAATTAAAATAAGTTCATTAAATATTTCCGACTTACACTTCTTAGTACCTCGATACAGAAGGTATAATTTTTATTTTTTATGCTAAAATCTCTTCTTTCTACTGTAGTATTTTTTGTACTTTAATACTTTTGTACTGCAGTATTTTTTATACTATAAAATTTTTTGTGTCCTGAAATATATTAGTATATTTGTCCTACAATATTTTTTATACAGTTAATATTTTTTTTTTTTTGCAACGTTTTCTACAGCTTTTTTTGTACTGTAACATTTCTTCTGCTGTCATATTTTTGGTACAAAAAATATTCTTCAAAAACATGTTTTCTACCGTAGTATTTTTTACCAAAAAAAAAAATTCCACAGAAAGTTTTGAAATGTGGGTTTGAAATTATTTTTGAAAGAAAATTTTGTTAAGGTTAAATATTTCGGAAGATAATTTTCCGATAAAGCAGAGGCATGTCTAAATGATTTATAGACGAGTGGTGAACACACTTGAGAAAGTAGGGTAGGAAATATATTCTCATATACTCACTACTGTTCGGAAATTTTCTACATGCCAACTACGAAATACTTCTGTAATTAATTTAATTTTCAAGAAAATTAAATCATCTCAACTTATTTCTTTTCTCCTAATCAGCACAATGTTATTTTTTTTTTTATCAAAGATTTCCTATAATAATTTTTCTTCCACTCTCATCACATGTGAGAAAGTATTATAATTTTTCTTCTAAATCCTATTAAAAAAAGAGTTCATACTAATACAAATGAGAAATACCTTCGTCTTTGTTTGTTGGTCAGCATGATATTAAAAATTCTCAACGAACTATTCCAATTACAATTCAAGAAGATTTCATCAGCAAATAATTTTGACTGTACAGAGAAAATATTTTTTCTACTCTGAAAAAAAAGATTCTACGAGTATTAAAATTTATTGAGCAAAATGTTTATTTAAAAAACTACTGCTTGTGTCGACCTTTAGTTAGAGTTCCGAATAATCTTGATAACTCTCTGTGTAATCTCTCGACTATATTTCCCTGTGAATGTTTAATTGATGAAAATACCGGTTGTATCTCTTCTTCTTTTAATTTGTCAGTCGACATCTCTGAAGTAAATTGCGTAACGTGGTCAGAAATAATTTCGAACCATGAATTTAATTTTATTTTAATTTATAAAAATTAAATAATAATTATTTATTATTTTTCCTTGGGAACTATGATTTTCAAAAATATAAAATTAAAACCTTTTTGAAATTCAATAACTTATAAGAATATTATTATAAAACATGAAGAAGTCAATCACTCCGAGTATTCGAAATCGCAGTGAAACTAGCGACCCACCGGCCGCCAGCCATCAAAAGAATCCATAGGCGCCGACACACATAGTAGCACGGTGGCCCTATACGGTTCAATCAACGCAAAAACAACGTACACTAGCTTTAATTTGGGACCAAGAAAAAAAAATTTCGTCTAAAATTGTTCGAGTTATGAATTTTTTTCCAATTTTCGTTTTTCTGATACGTGCGGGTGGGGACACTGGCTATCAAAAATTTTTTTTAAAAAATTCTTATTGGTCCAATGAAAAGAAGCATTAATCCCTCTTTAATTTGCGACCAAGAAACCAAAAATTGGTCAAAAATTGTTCGAGTTATGAATTTTTTTTCGATTTTTTTTCACTTTTCGTTTTTCTGATACAGGCGGGTGGGAACGCTGGCTATCAAAAATTGATTTGAAAAATTTTAAATTGTCACATTTTAAAAAACAATAACCCCCCTTTAATTTGTGACCAAGAAATAAAAAATTGGTCAAAAAATGTTCGAGTTATGAATTTTTTTTTGATTTTTTTCCAATTTTCGTTTTTCTGATACGGACGGGTGGGGACGCTGGCTATCAAAAATTTTTTTAGAAAATTCTTATTGGTCCAATGAAAAAAGGCATTAATCCCTCTTTAATTTGCAACCAAGAAACAAAAAATTGGTCAAAAATTGTTAGAGTTATGAATTTTTTTTCGATTTTTTTTCCAATTTTCGTTTTTCTGATACGGGCGTGTGGGGACGCTAGCTATCAAAAATTGATTTTAAAAATTTTGAATTGTCACATTTTAAAAAGCAATAGCCCCCCTTTAATTTGTGATCAAAAAATAAAAATTTGGTCAAAAATTATTCGAGTTATGAATTTTTTTCCATTTTTTTCCAATTTTCGTTTTTCTGATACGGGCGGGTGGGGACGCTGGCTATCAAAAATTTTTTTAGAAAATTCTTATTGGTCCAATGAAAAGAAGCATTTATCTCTCTTTAATTTGCGACCAAGAAACAAAAAATTGGTCAAAAATTGTTCGAGTTATGAATTTTTTTTCGATTTTTTTCCAATTTTCGTTTTTCTGATACGGGCGGGTGGGGACGCTGGCTATCAAAAATTAATTTAAAAAATTTTGAATTGTCACATTTCCCTTGGTGAATTTTGTTTTTTATCAAAATAGTTGAATTTTGGAAAAGAACTTTATTAAAATTCCTTACAATAATTAATTTTGACCCTGTGGAATTTGGTTTTCAAAGTTTTTCCTAATCATTAAAATACAATTCCACAAGAGTTGTATTTTTATTCTGGAAAGAGGATTTAATACCAGGGATCATGAAAGAATACAGAAATGACAAATTTTTATCCAAATACATTTATTTAAATTAATAAAAATACAAAACAATTCTCACTTATTACCTAAATAATAACAATACAAATTTTAAATATACACATTAAAGTTGGCAGATGTTTCTGAATTTATATTACTTTAACAAATAATCAAATTTACATTGGTAAATTTTCTAAGTTTATAATTTCCATTTTTCATTTCAATTTTTATTTCCAATTTTAATTTTAGTTTTAATTTCATTTCGCAATCGAATTAAGAAGGGTTTTTAATACTAATTTTTAATACCCGTCTGAGCAGTGATCCAATTTCGATGATAGAATATTTCCGTATAAACACCAGGATATTGACCAAGGGCACAACCCTTGCCCCAAGAAATAATTCCAACGAGATGAACCCCAACAGCTAATGGACCACCAGCATCAGCTTGGCATGCATCTTGTCCGGTTAAAGCAGCACATATCTGACCCGCTGGTAATCGTCCTTGATAATGTGTTTTACTGCAATAATTTGTATTCAAAATATTCACATTTCCCTTTTGCAATTGACTTGGAAATGTCGAATTCATCCAACCCCATCCGGAAATTTTAGCAAAACTTCCAACCAATGCTGGTTTGTTCAACAATGGAATTGCATCTCGTGATCCATCGAAGGAGAATGTATTTTGAATTTTAATAATAGCGATATCATTCACTGGAATGCTGTCACTGTTTACGTAAAATGAGGGATGCTTAATTATTTGCGAGACTCTGTGAATTGTACCGCCGTATTGTAAATTGGCTGTTCCAGATTTTATGCTATATTGATTAATACCACCAGCTGAGACACAAGCAGCTGCCGTAAGAACGTATGTTTCGGAAATTATAACACCTCCGCAATAGTGTCTGCCATTTAATTGAACGCTCACTTGGTAGGGTATTTCATCAAAACGTGATACAGTCGCTCCTCCAACTATTCGCGATGACAGACCATTCGATGGTACAGCTGAAAAAAATAAGTCTTTGATTAATTTTATTCCGAATTACTTTTCATACAGCGTCCTCCATCAGGGTTGCCACAAATATTTAATTTTATTTTTCCCTGATTTTTCCCTGATTTCCAGACAAAATTTTCACTTTTTCCCTGACCCTAAAGAATATTCTGATTCACTCTAAAAATTATTAGATACTCAAAATTCTATTACATTTATTTAAAAATTTCGTTAACTGTAAACTTATTCCAAAACATCAATAGTTTTATTAAAAACTAGCTGTCGTACCCGTCTTCGACGGGTTTTAGTTTCTACCAATACATTTAAGTTTCTACCAATCTGGAAAATCAGGAAATAGCTAGGGAATTTAATTTGACGGGAAGAAAATAATAATTAGTTACCATTATAGCTATTTTAGTAGGAAAATATTACTATTTGAATCAGTGATTAACTTTTTGTTATCAAATTAGTTATTTTAACCAATTCAAATGCAGAGAACAATATTTATCAATTTGTAGTACTTTAATTAATGTATTAAAAAAATTAAATTTTCCATACAGTTTTTGGAGTTATAGTAGAGTCTAATTGGAACTAATTGTATCGCAAGTAGACCCTACGTTACGACTGCTAAAACCTAACATAAGACCTAAATTTTAGGCTGAAAGTAGGGCTTAAATTTTGACTCGGGTCTGTTTTCATAAATATTATACATCAATAAAAATTGAAGTAAAAAGCAATTTTTTAAAAGCGAATTAATATAATGAAACTTTTTCTTAATTTGATAGGAAAATTCCCGGTTCGGCATATTCCCAGCTTTTTACAGTTTTTCCCGTTTGGTAGATACCCAGTTAAATGTATTAGTATAAACAGAAAACTGTACGACAGCAAGTAATACAATCTATATTTATATGAACTTAAGAAACAGTATTTTCATAAAATAAGTAAATTTTTATAGCCATTTGTAGATTTATTTATGGATAAAATCAAGTAAATTTAAATTTGACAAAAAAGAGATAAACCGTGAAAAGTTTGGACAAAGCAGGGAATTTTGTTAAACAAAAATAGACACCGTGTTAACTTTTGTCTTTACATTGCTCAAAACATCTCTTAAAGTTAAATCTAGAGTTAAAATGAAAAAACGTTTTAACATGTAAGTTTTTGCCTAGTGGCATAATATGCTTGTATTGTATCACAGGTGACTTACAATTCTTGACATCCTGCGAAATCATTTTAATCATAAAAAATTTCCATTTTCAATATTTCTGAATTTCTTGAAAATATTAGATTGATTTGATAAATAATTTTGAATTGCACTATTTTGACATCAAAATATTAATCAGAGACTCCAAAAATACTACTGAATTATCCTTATTAATAAAATCAGATGTCTGTCTGTACATTGCTTAAAACTTCAAAATGTTAACATGATTAGTTATTATGGACATCAGAGATTCCAAAAATGTTCTTAAAAAATTTAATGTATGTATGTATGTTTGTATGTATGTATGTTTGTCTGTCACAAAAACTTTGTACCCCAATCACACAAAAACATGTGAATCGATTTAAGTCCAACTTGGTAGGTTATTAGGTATTGACCCAAGGAAGGTTTATAAATTTACAGATTTAAAAAATATTAATTAGAACGGGAGATATTCAATTTTTTCAAAAAATTCAAAAAATCGAAAATTTCAAAATTTTTTATTTTTCATGGATTGCTTTTGAAGTTTATATACTTGAGTATTATATGTTATTTAGTCACATTTTAGCATAACTTTGCAAAAAATAAAGTCCTATAACTAATATGTAAGTATAAAAATGTTTTCAAAAAATCGAAAATTTCAAAATTTTACATTTTTTTATGGATTGCTTTTAAACTTTCTATATTTGAGTATTACATGTTATTTGGTCACATTTTAGCATAATTTTTCAAAAAATACTATTCTACAACTAAGATGTAAATATAAAAATATTTTCAAAAACTTGAAAAATGGAAAATTTCCAAATTTCACAATTTTTAATGGATAGCTTTTAAACTTTCTAAAAATGAATATTATATGTTATTTAGTCAGATTTTATCATAATTTTGCAAAAAATACTATCCTACAAGAAATATAAAAAAATTTTCAATATATCAAAAAATCGATACTAATTACTATATGAAGTATAATTCAGTAGTATTTTTGGAGTCTCTGATTAATATTTTGATGTCAAAATAGTGCAATTCAAAATTATTTATCAAATCAATCTAATATTTTCAAGAAGTTCAGAAATATTGAAAATGGAAATTTTTTATGATTAAAATGATTTCGCAGGATGTCAAGAATTGTAAGTCACCTGTGATACAATACAAGCATATTATGCCACTAGGCAAAAACTTACATGTTAAAACGTTTTTTCATTTTAACTCTAGATTTAACTTTAAGAGATGTTTTGAGCAATGTAAAGACAAAAGTTAACACGGTGTCTATTTTTGTTTAACAAAATTCCCTGCTTTGTCCAAACTTTTCACGGTTTATCTCTTTTTTGTCAAATTTAAATTTACTTGATTTTATCCATAAATAAATCTACAAATGGCTATAAAAATTTACTTATTTTATGAAAATACTGTTTCTTAAGTTCATATAAATATAGATTGTATTACTTGCTGTCGTACAGTTTTCTGTTTATACTAATACATTTAACTGGGTATCTACCAAACGGGAAAAACTGTAAAAAGCTGGGAATATGCCGAACCGGGAATTTTCCTATCAAATTAAGAAAAAGTTTCATTATATTAATTCGCTTTTAAAAAATTGCTTTTTACTTCAATTTTTATTGATGTATAATATTTATGAAAACAGACCCGAGTCAAAATTTAAGCCCTACTTTCAGCCTAAAATTTAGGTCTTATGTTAGGTTTTAGCAGTCGTAACGTAGGGTCTACTTGCGATACAATTAGTTCCAATTAGACTCTACTATAACTCCAAAAACTGTATGGAAAATTTAATTTTTTTAATACATTAATTAAAGTACTACAAATTGATAAATATTGTTCTCTGCATTTGAATTGGTTAAAATAACTAATTTGATAACAAAAAGTCAATCACTGATTCAAATAGTAATATTTTCCTACTAAAATAGCTATAATGGTAACTAATTATTATTTTTTTCCGGTCAAATTAAATTCCATAGCTATTTCCTGATTTTCCAGATTGGTAGAAACTTAAATGTATTGGTAGAAACTAAAACCCGTCGAAGACGGGTACGACAGCTAGTACTTCATATAGTAATTAGTATCGATTTTTTGATATATTGAAAATTTTTTTATATTTCTTGTAGGATAGTATTTTTTGCAAAATTATGATAAAATCTGACTAAATAACATATAATATTTATTTTTAGAAAGTTTAAAAGCTATCCATTAAAAATTGTGAAATTTGGAAATTTTCCATTTTTCAAGTTTTTGAAAATATTTTTATATTTACATCTTAGTTGTAGAATAGTATTTTTTGAAAAATTATGCTAAAATGTGACCAAATAACATGTAATACTCAAATATAGAAAGTTTAAAAGCAATCCATAAAAAAATGTAAAATTTTGAAATTTTCGATTTTTTGAAAACATTTTTATACTTACATATTAGTTATAGGACTTTATTTTTTGCAAAGTTATGCTATAATGTGACTAAATAACATATAATACTCAAGTACATACATACATACATACATACATTAAATTTTTTAAGAACATTTTTGGAATCTCTGATGTCCATAATAACTAATCATGTTAACATTTTGAAGTTTTAAGCAATGTACAGACAGACATCTGATTTTATTAATAAGGATTATTATTTTTCCATACGAATTAAGATTTTCAAAACATTTTAATTCAAACCTATTGAAATTTAAAATTAACAACTTATCAAAATTTTATTGTTAAACATGAAGAAATCGATCACTCCGAGTCGAAGACTCGGAGTAATCGCTTTCTTCATGTTTTGTAATAATTTAAATTACAATAAAATTTTTCAAAAAAAATTTAATTATTTACAAAAATCTTAATAAAATCCTTCACAAGAATTCAATTACCTATTTTTACAAGTAGTAAAAATTTCTCAAAAGAATTCAATTATTTGAAAATTGTGCAATAAAATTCGTAGCAAGAATTCAATTATTTTCATATAAATAATAAATCGATTATTTGGAAATTCATTTTTAAATTAACTTTTATTAGAAAATTCTACGAAAATTCAATTATTTTAAATTCGAAATAAAATAATTTATTGCATAATTAAATGTTTGTTAAAATTAAATTTTCATAAAGAATTTTATCAACAAATTTTTAAGTAATTGAATTCTTCTAACGAATTTTCATAACATTTTTAAGAATAATTACTTTTTTCGAGAAATTTGATTAAAATTCTATCAAAAATAATTAAAATCCTGCTATGAATTTAATTATTTATGAAAATAATTGAATTATTGCGACGAAGTATATAAAAAATTTGTAAATAATTGAAATCCTGAGAAATTTTTATTATTTATGAAAATAATTGAATGTTTGAATAGAATTTTATTAATATTTTTGAAAATAATTGAATTTCTGAAAAGAATTTTATTACTCTTGAAAATAATTTTATTCTTCTGATTAAATTTATTATTATATTATTATTATATTTATAATTTGTTTAAATAATTAAATTGTTAAGAAGAATTTCATTAAAATTTTTGAAAATAATTAAATTCTTTTAAGCAGTTTAATTAAAAATAATTGAAAATAATTATTAAATATAATGAACATATAAATTCACAAGTTTTTAAAATAATTGAATTCTTTCAAAGAATTTTAATAAAACTTTTAATAAAAATTGCATTTTTCTAGAAATTTATTTAAAATTGTATTAAAAATAATTGAAATACTACGATGAGTTTTATTATTTAATAAAATAATTGAATTCTTGCAACGAATTTTATTAAAATTTTTAAAAATAAATAAATTACCGAGAAAAACTTTATTCTTTATGAAAATAATTGAATTCATGCGAAGGATTTTAATAAATGTTTTTATAAATAATTGAATACTCGTGAAGAATTATAAAAAATCTTTTTAAATAATTAATTCGTTTTGAAAAATCTCGAAATTTTAGAAAATAATTGAATTTTGGAGAAGAATTTTATTATTTATAAAGATAATTAAAATTTATACGAGAATTTATTAAAATTTTTTAACATAATTGAATTTCTGAAAAGGATTTTATTACTCTTGAAAATAATTTTATTCTCGTGATAAATATTGTCATTTATTAAAATAATGAAATTTTGCAAAGAGTTTTATTAAAATTTTGGAAATAATATTAAATACATATTAAAAATTCAACTAATTTCAACAAAATTGTATTAAAAATATTTGAAATTCTGCGATGAGTTTTATTATTTTTGAAAATAATTAAATCCAAGTAAAAAATTTTGTTTATGAAAATAATTGAATTATTGAGAAGAAATTTATAAAAAATTCTAAATATAATTGAATTACTGTTAAATTTTTATTATTTATAAAAATACTTGAAATTTTGACGAGATATTTAAAAAAATTTTGAACATAATTAAATTTCTGTGAATAATTATATTACTTTTGAAAATAATTGAATTTCTCCAATCATTTGTAACTTTTCCAAAATTCAATTTTTTTAGTATTTTTAATTAAAATTCTTCTATAAATCTTTTATTTTTAATAATGAATTAAATATATATTGAAAAATGTAACTAATTTCAGAATTTGAATTATTAAAATTTTTGAAAAATCTAACTTCATTATAATTTCTAATTAAATTCATTCAAAATTGAAATTTTGTAAAATTAAAAATTAAAACCTTTTGAAGTTGATCTATTTATGAAAATTGTAAACGCAATTCTTGTAAAATTCAATTAATTTAGATTTTTTTAAATAAAATTATTCATTAAATAATTTATAAGTAATAATTTTGTGATAGCTCCTCTTTATGAATTGAGCTATTTTAAAAGAAATTATTGTGAGAAATAGAAAAAATTGAAGGTTTTGTATTAGAATTCGTAGTAATTTCATAGTTTATACAAAATTTTTCAATAAAATTCTTATTTTTTTATCCCAGTGGAATATTACTACTGTTAAGCGAAGGATTTTTTTTTGAAAAAACTTTGTTTCCTACAGCTGAAAACCCACACTTTCTATAAAGTAGGCTTAGAAATATTCCATTGGGATATTATAGCTTAATGTAATCTGGACCCCTTGCTATATGGATTATATTATATTAAAAGTTAATTAAAAAACCTGATTTAAAAATATCTGAATCAATTTGTTTAATTAAGAGGTTTAATTAAAAAATAATTAAAATTTTTTTATTAAAACCGCTATTTAAATATGAATACAGCTCTTTGGCTTGTTAATCTTTGCGGAGTAAACTTTAGTTTAGTTATTCATTTATGATCCATTAGTACTTGTGTTTTAAATAAATTATTAATGTTCCACTACATTTTGCCGAACCAAAATAATTTTCTACGTTAGTTTATAATTCAATAAATTGATTTTCATTTTAAAATTCTCGTTAAAATTTTATACAGAAAATCAAAGAACGTGGACCATTTTCTTAATTAAAAAGATATATAGTTGGAAAATTAAATTAATTATGTCAGAGTAGTCAAGTGATTAAAATTTATATGAAGTAAAAATTCACTTACAAAAAAATTCGTTTGCTTTTACATTTTAAGATAATTAAGAAATTTCGAGAAAAATTAATATTTTCGAAAGTAAAATTCATAAAGGTTAAATTTATGTTTCAAAGAGCTATTTTCATCCTGATTTCTACTCTTACTTGACAAGAAGTATTTTTTTTTTTTTAAATAAGAAATTCTTTTCCAATTATATTTCAATATTGAATTTTAACAAGTCATTATGTTTAAGCGAATTATTTTATTTCAATAAAATATATTTTTAATAAATCATAAATAAAATTATTGTTAGTTATTTTATTTCAATAAAATATGTTTTATAAATCATAAATAAAATTACTATTAGTTATAATAAATAAAATTAATTTACATTTCGAAATTATTATTGCTAAAATTAAAGATAGTTAATTATGCAAAAAATAGTTACAATGGAAAATAAATTTGATTCAAATAATTTTTTTTCAGTGTCTATAATTTTTGTTAACAAGTTAAAATAATTATTATAATTATAAAAAGTACTTACCTGTTGCAAAAATTGCCACAGCTACTATTGTCATGTATCCAATCATGATTGATGCTTCACAAGGAACTAACACGAAAATACGAATGTTTCGAATGTACTTTAAGAAGCAATGGTCTCTTAATCTTATCATAAATCATTTCCTCATTTTGCACATTTCATAGAAATTATTACACTTTACATAATCAGTGAATCAGGTGAAATTTTTTTTTTCAGAATATATATTTTTTTCGGTTATGAGATAATAAATTATAACACACACTGTGTCAAGTACTTGATAAAATACTTCATCAGAAAATATTATTCATAAAGTAACTGTAAACGTTAAAAGTTATCGGAAACCTTAATAAATTTTATTTATTTGTGAAAGAGATAATATTATTATTTTACCGAAATCGTCATTCTTTTTTTTTTTTGAAGAGAAAAAAAGTTAGGAAAGTTTCAAAAAGAGACGTCATAATATTTTTAATCATTTGTTGTAAATTTATGGTATGAACTTTTGATAATACGAGTTCTAAAATTTATATTAAGGACTAATTTTAAATTTTTCTTTCTTCAAATTTTAGTGCTTTTTAATTTTTTATTTGCAAATTCTTACGTCTTAAGAAATCACATTATTTCTTAAATTAATTATCTAATTATGATTATTTATAACTAATTATCTAATCATAATTATTTATAATTAATTATCTAATTATAATTATTTATATAATCAATTATATTGTGATAATTAATAAAATAAAACTGATTTACTTTTCAAAATCTGAATAAATATTTTCCATTCTAAATATTTTGATATTTTTTTTATTATATTAAGAAAATAATGAGTAATTATGTAATTAAAAAAATTATGAGTAAAACAAATTTTGCATTTTTAAGACAGAAGTGAATTTCTAATTAAAAATAAATTCGATTTGTAAATACACACGTGTCAAAAAGATACATATCTTTCAGATAACTTTTGTTCTAATTCAACATGAATCACATTTAATTTCAAATGATTGATTGCAACTGAGAAAAATGATTAATTGAATAATTTTCAGAATATTATGTTTTCGAATTTTTATCTTTTCACTATCGTAAAATTAAAAATAATAAGATTTATTATTTTTTGTAAATATGACTTTTCAGTAGAAAACAAGATGACTTCATTTTTCTTCTTCTTTCTCAAAAATTTATTAAATTCTAAATAGTTTTTTTGATAAATATAATTTTTATTTCTATTTTTTATGTTTATTATTTTTATATTTATTATATGTTTTGTTGTATTTCTTATTTATTTATATTTATGTTAAAAGAAAAATTTTTGTTAAATAATTGAATTTCAAAAAAGAATTTTATTATTTATGAAAATAATTGAATTTCTAAAAAGAATTTTATTATTTATGAAAATAATGGAATTATTGCGAAGAAATTTATAAACAAAATTTTAAATAATTGAATTCTTGTGAAATTTTTATTATTTATTAAAATACTTGAATGTTTGCAAAAGAATTTTATAATTTTTTTTTTAAATTATTCAATTTTTTTGGGAAATTTTTTTTAAATAGTAGATACTGAAAATAATTGAATTTTGAAAATTTTGAAATACAAAAATAATTTATTTATTGAATAATTGATTTCTCATAAAGAAGTTTATCAAAATTTTTTAAATAATGAAGTTGTCACGAAGAATTTCATTAAAATTTTTAAAAATAATTGAATTCCCGTGAAAATTTTTATTCTTTACAAAAGTAATTGAATTGTTGCAAAGGATTTTAGTAAATGTTTCTTAAAATAATTAAATGCTTGTAAAGAATTTTATAAAAATCTTATTAAATAATTAATTTTTTTTTTGAAAAATTTTATGAAAATTGTGTTTTAAATAATTGAATTTCTGTGAAAATTTTATTATTTATAAAAATAATTGAATGCTTTTAAAAAATTCCATTAAAATTTTTTTTAAATAATTCAATTCTTTTGGGAAAATATTTATTAAAATAATCGATATTAAAAATAATTAAATCTCGAAAATCTTTATAAATACAAATTATGGAGAAGAATTTTATTATTTATAAAGAAAATTGAAATTTTAACGAGAGTTTATTAAAATTTTTTAATGTAATTGAATTTCTGTGAAGAATTTTATTACTTTTGAAAATAATTGAATTCCGACAAAGAATTTTATCATTTATAAAAATACTTAAATGTTTGGAAAGAACTTTATCAATTTTTTTTTAAATTATTTATTTCTTTTGGAAATTTTTTTTTTAAATAGTAGATATTGAAAATATTTAAATTTCAAAAATTTTTAAACACAAAAATAATTTATTTATTGAATAATTGATTTCTTATAAAGAAGTTTATCAAAATTTGTTTAAATAATTAAATTGTTACGAAGAATTTCATTAAAATTTTTAAAAATAATTAAATTCTTTCAAGCAATTGAATTAAAAAGGATTGAAAGTAATTATTAAATATAATGAACATGTAAAATCAAAATTTTTTAAAATAATTGAATTCTTTCGACTAATTTTAATAAAACTTTAAAGAAAAATTGCTTTTTTCTAGAAATTTATTTAAAATTGTATTAAAAATAATTAAAATCCTACAATGAGTTTTATTATTTATGAAAATAATTTAATTCTTGCTTTTTTTTGGTAAATTTAATTTTATTTCTATTTTCTATATGTTTATTATTTTTATATTTATTTTATATTTTATTATATTTATTATTTATTTATATTTATGTTAAAAGATTACTTCATATTTCTTTTTTTTACTCAAAAATTTATTAAATTAAAAAATATATTCAATAGTATTTTCGATAAATTTATTCTTATTTCTATTCTTTGTTTATTATTTTTTTGTATTATATTTTTTATTATATTTTTTACTATTAATATTTTTATTTATTTATTCATATAGACGAGATGGTAATATTTTTTATATTTATATTTTATTTTACATTCTGAAAAGCTAATAAAATTTAGAGACCATCATTATTCGGATAATGATAAGAAATACAAATAATTAAAAGAAAAGTTTTTGTTAAAATTAAAATTCAAATGGACATTGCAGTTGCAAATTTATCGACTTTATTACAATGAGCCACGCGACTGACTTTATCAACAGATAAGTTTATAATGAGATAACAGAGTAATTACAAAATAAATATTTTAATTGAATAAATAATAATTTATTTTACAAGTCTACAACTTTTAGTAAAGAAAAAATTTATTTTCCTACTTTTTAAAATTGGTGAAAAAAATTGATTTTAATTTCCTTTAAAATTAGTAAAAAAAATTTTAATTGCTAAAGGAAGTAGTTAAATTATGCTAAAAATTAGTGCAAATTTTTACTAGTTGTAATTAATTTACTATTCAGTAGTTTATTTCTAATTTTATTATTCAGTCACTATTTGTTATCTTGTTATTTATAAGGTTATTATTTATCATTTTATTATTATTATTATTCATTACATTTATCACTGCATTGAAAAATATTTCTTAATTTAAAAAAATTTGCAAACTTGAAAAAAATATATGCCAACAAAAATTCAAAAGAAGATGAAACAAAAACATTTTTCTCGCACCTTTTCTGAATATGTCATACTTTCGTCTCATTTCCAACATCTTAAATTTTAATTTAAAATATATTCCTTTCAGAGATATAAGAAGGAGTCCCCTTTTTTCTCGAGGGCTTTACAACTTTCAGTAATGTATCTTAATAATCCAAAAGAATGAATAAGCTGCGAACTTAAAAAGTGCTTTCTTTAAAACTTTCAAAAAAAGTTAGCCGCAAGAATCTTAAAACAAAAAACAAAAAGAAAAGAAAAGCCCAGAAACAAGGTGATTACTTAACGCCAAGTACTTGCACTAATTTAAAACCACTAAAAAATTTCTCTCTGAATAAAAAATCTCAAAAAAATTAGTCTTCAATATAAACTGGAGTGTAAAACACGGAAATAGTAAAAATAGGGAAAATTTATTTAGTTGCGGTAATTAATTCTACACGTTGTTCTAATTTCATTAAAGCATTAAAACATCCCGATAACTGAATGTAATAATTTTTAATTAGCTTTAATTTGTGTTTAATGTTTTGCATAAGTATTGGAAGATATAGTGAGAGGATGAGACTAGTTGTAAATTGAATTACTCGCGCAAGGTATAGGGCTAAGTAAATTATTAGTTGGCGCTGGTCCAGTCATGTGGGGTTGCTCTTGTAGGTGTGAAATTTAGTACTTAAACTTTATGTCAAGATCAAGAATAAAGACATATAGATATAGTTGTTTCTTGTTTGTCGCTAAAAAAAAACAAATTTCAGATTCGACGAGATACAATTTCGTTATCTATCGTTGCTTGTAAATAATATAGTTATTATCATTTTCTACAAAATCACTACGAAATCGATTGCTAAATCTTTTCCATTTAACTGTTTTTGTTAGATAGTTATAATCAATAATGTACTTCGGTATAATTATTACTCACAAAAAAAAAATAAACTGCACTTGAAACGTATCTTTCAAGAGTAATGAAAATTTCTTCAAAATACTCAAAACAAACAAAAGTTGATTAATTTCTAGAATATTATAATTTTTCAGTCCTGACTATAGACAAATTTTGATGCCCTAAGCGGGCCTTTTTTCCTCTTCTTAATAATTAATAACCTCTTTTTTATTTAAATAATTAAATCATTAGTATTTTTCCATAGGAATTTAGATTTTTAAAAATTTCAAATTCAAACCATTTTAAAATTCAACAACTTATGAGAATATTATTATAAAACATGAAGACGATCGAGTGATAAAATTATTATTTTATATTATAACAATATTGTTACTGTAAATTCTTCAAAATTATTTCAATATCACTTTATAATTTAAAACGATGGAATTTCAATTAAATTACTATTTTCCAGAATTTTTAACTAAAATTCTTATTTAAATTAATTATTTAAAATAATTTTTGAAAAAGTTCTTTGAGAATTTTCAAATCCATTTGTTTACAATTCAATTTTACGAAATTTCGATTATTCGGAAATTATTCAATTAAATATTATATCAGAAAACGAAAATTTCAATTAATTTAAAAATTATTTAAAAATTAAAATTGTTAGTTAAGGGCATTTGAACCTTGATGACGTCACACATGCTTTGCACAACGTGTAACGTCATCAAGGTTCAAATGCCCTTAAAAATATGAAAAATTCAAATTTATTTAAATTTTCAAAGATTTTAATTGGAAACCTTTTCAAAAATTCAATTATTTTTAAAAATTCATGCAATAATGCTTTTAATATTCAATTATTATTTAAAATTTTAACTGAAATTCATTCTTGAATTAATTTTTACTAAAAAATTCTATACGAGAATTGAATTATTTATAAATACGAAAATAAATAATTTATTGAATAATTGAATATTCTTCTTAAAATTGAATTCACATAAAGAATTTTATCAAAAAATTTTTAAATAATTGATTGAATAATTGATAATTTGATTTTAAATAATTGAATTTAATAAAATTGTTAAGAACAATTATATTTTTCGAGGAATTCGATTAAAATTGTATTAAAAATAATTGAAATTCTGCAGTGAGTTTTATTATTTATGAAAAAAATTGAAATATTGCTAAGAATATTATAAAAAAGTTTCAAACAATTGATTTTTTTCGACAAAATTTATGCAAATTCTATTTTTAATAATTCAATTTCTGTGAAATTTTCATTATTTTAGAAAATATAATCGAAAATTTGTGTAGAACTTTGTCAAAATTGTTTTTAAATTATTAAATTCTTTTGGGAAATTTTATTAAAATATTAGATAAACAAATTATTGAATTAAGATAAATTTTTGAAAATAATTGAATTTTATTACTTTTAAAAATAATTGAATTCTTGTGATAAATAATATTATTATTTATAAAAATAATTTACTACGATGAGTTTTATAATTTATGAAAATAATTGAATTTCTAGAAAGAATTTTATTATTTATGAAAATAATTGAATCTCTGTAAAAAAATTTGATTATTTATGAAAATACTTGAATGTTTGTAAAGAATTAAATTAATTAAATTAAATTAATTAATTTTTTTTTAAATTATTCAATTCTTGTGGGAAATTGTTTTTTAAAATAGTAGATATTGAAAATAATTGAATTTCGAAAATTTGTAATAACAAAAATGACGTATTTATTGAATAATTGATTTCTCATAAAGAAGTTTATTAAATTTTTTTTAAATAATTAAATTGTTAAGAAGAATTTCATTAAAATTTTTAAAAATAATTAAATTCTTTCAAGCAATTGAATTTAAAATGATTGAAAATTATTATTAAATATAATGAACATATAAAATTAAAACTTTTTAAAATAATTGAATTCATTCAAAGAATTTTAATAAAACTTTTAAGAAAAATTGCTTCTTGCTAGAAATTTATTTAAAATTGTATTAAAAATAATTTAAATCCTACAATGAATTTTATTATTTACGAAAATAATTGAACTCTTGCAACGAATTTTATTAAAATTTTTAATAATAATTGAATTTCCGAGAAGAATTTTATTTATTATAAAAATAATTGAATTCTTGCGAAGGATATTAATAAATGTTTTTTTAAATAATTGAATACTTGTGAAGAATTTTATAAAAATCTTTTTAAATAATTAATTTTGTTTGAAAAATTTTATGAAAATTGTGTTTTAATGTTTTAAATAATTGAATTCCTGTGAAAACTTTATTATTTATAAGAATAATTGAATGCTTTCAAAAAATTCCATTAAATTTATTTTTAAATAATTCAATTCTTTTGGTGAAATATTTATTAAAATAGTAGATATTGAAAATAATTAATTCTCGAAAGTTTTTGAAAATAATTAAATTTTGGAGAAGAATTTTATTATTTATGAAAATAATTAAATCTCTGTAAAATATTTCATTAGTTATGAAAATATTAAATAATAAACTCAAGATATGCACTTTTAACTTTTAAGTAAAAAATAGTATTTTTAAAAAAATTTACTGCTTTATTCGAAAAAAATTCCTATAAATGAATTTTTTTCCCCAATAAAACTCATGTAACCCTTTAAAATAATAAATTTATCAAAGTCAGAATCTAAATAATTATTAGTTACAGATAATATAATATTAATAATAATAATTCAATTAAAATTGTACTCACACTATTTAACTTAATTTTATGTTTACTGTCCTGCTTATAATGGCCAGACAATTGATATAGGACGGCTCGACTTCTTCTTCTGCCATAATTCGCTGGAGGAGCTTCAGGATCAAGATTGCCATTCGCATCTGAAAATTGTAAAACAACTGTATTTATAGATAATTTAAATCGTTGCTTATTTATTAATGTACTTTTCTTGCAAAATAATTATTTTTGCAAAAATTTTTTCTTTTATTATTTCTTAACAATAAAAAGTTAAAACAGTAATCTTCATAAAGATCTCACTAAAATCTTAATAAAAGTCTAAATAAAGCCTTTTCTCAAAGAAAAAAGAAAAAAAAAATGTGCACTTCCTTTTTAAAAATAAAATCATAAATAATACAAATATTTTTTTATAAAGTGTATTTTAAAAGTTTTAAAAGGCGAAACTTTAAAGGTGTGAGAAGAATATGATTATATTATAATTTCCTGTGACAGATGCTTAGTTTGCTTTCCTGCATACTAAAATTTTCATAAACAGTGCCACAAACGTTGCATTATTTAAAATGTGTTTCAACTTTGCACCAGATCTATGTGCTCGTCAAGTTTAAGCATTTCAAAGTTTAAATTCAATACGTTTGCTTGAGAAAGGAAAAATTATATGAAACTATTTTTTTATTTTGCCAAAAAATAAAAAAATAATAAAAAAAAAAAAAAATAAATAAATAATAAAAAAATAATAATCACAATTCATTTTTGTTAACAAAATAATTTGTAAATATATTTATAATGTATTTGCCTATTTATTTATAATTTCATAAAGGGAATCAAAAATTACCATTTCAAAGGGAAATTTATTTTTAAAAAATTAATTAAATTAATTTTAAAAAAAAATTTTTTTTTTAAATATTCGATATTAAATTAATGAATTCTGTATATATATACTTTTTTCTCTGTTTGTGTTAAAGCGCATGCGTAAAGTTTGGTGCGAATTTACAGCTTTGATAATCGGACTCTATTGGGTTATACTTGTAGTGGAGGGGGAAGTGTTCCCCTTCCCTCGCGCTACTGACCAATCCAGTGTTCTTGTCTGGATATATAAATAGGGCGTTCGCTACGAGCGGCACACTTGTCTTCAAGTACTGTTACGAGAAGGATCTCTGCTTGCCATTTTATAAGATAATATTGCGAATAAATTTTTATAATAATTTATATTGTAATTAATATGAATAATGGGAATAAAAAGTAATGCCTTGAAAGTGCTTTTGGTGTTTAGCTATAGAAAATTTTAATAGTGACAACTTTTCTAAATTTATTATTTGTAATCAAAAAGCTTTTTCTGATGTTTAATCCTTCAGCGTCTCCGAAATTTATTTACATTTCAAATCCACTGTTTGTAACTTTTTTTTAATTCTTCAATTATTCTGCAAAACGTGTAGTAAAAATTTGTCATCGTAACCCTACTTTTTTTTAAAACCATCGTATAGAATTTTTGCAAAAGAACTTTTACTTTAAAAATTATTTCTTATTACAGGGTTGCCACAAATATTTAATTTTGTTTTTCCCTGATTTCCAGACAAAATTTTGACTTTTTATGAATTTAAAAAAAATTAATTTTTTCCAGGACTTTTAATAAAAATCTCTGACTTTTCCCTGACCTGTGGAAACCCTATATTAAAGCGTAATAGCAAAAAATAAATTTATTTTTATTTCCATTAATTTTCACTATTTATAAATTTATTTTCAATTTTATATTTTATGATTTCAAATTGTACTCAAAAGTTAAAAATACATTTCTCAAGAAATCTTTCATTAATTTCAGTTCATTAAAAAATATCACTCTTCAATTCTTTTTACAATGAGGTAACATTAAGAAATACTTTTAAAAATTATTCGGTGTTAAAGGATTAAACTCAAAGCAAAAAAAAGAAAGTGAAAAATATAAATTGTTTATATAGACGATTTAAAATTAATACCATTTTGATCGTAAATTCCATTGTTCCTGCATAAAAAACGTTAATCGTTGTGGCTTTTAAAGCGTGATTACATGACGCATGAATCTCTGGTAAAAGTCGATTTTATTTATAACATTTTTGTTCCAAACATTGTGTAACACTTTATTAAATATTAGGGAAAAATATTGTAAAATAAGAGAAAACTATATTTCGAACACATTGCGTCATGAGGCGTTATAATATTTAACTGAAAAAAGTTTATATTAAAAAAGTTATATTTGAAAAGTTCATTGAAAAATATTTTATAAAAATAAAACCAAAAAAAAAAAATTACTAAACTTTCCATCATTGATTCAATGCGACATTTTTGCAAAGCAAAATTCACTCACCACTATCGTATAACTCACAGAGTTGAAGATTTTTCGTATGAGTGATATCCTTATGTGAGGCCAAAAAAAGAACGACGTCACCTTTTTCGTTTTTTATTGGAACGATGTCGAGTAGGCAGTCGAACGGACTTCCTGCAAAAGAGAAAATAAGAAAACAATTTTTTTTTTGCTCTACAATTGTACTTTTTTAATTACTTCTTTCGTTAACTATTCTATCTTCCTAAAACGAAGAACCTTATTCCCATTCTTTTTTTTATTTTATTTACAAAAAGTACTTAAAGCAATAGTTCTTTTTTTCGCGAAACATTTCCAATTTGGAATTTATCTTTTAAGTAAATAGAAATTTACAATTTAAGAGAACATTATTTTAAAATAAAAGATAATTTATTTTAGTGCGCGCATTTTAATTAAGATTCTTTTTTTAATCTTCTCCTATGAGTATTTTACTTTCTGAAGCATTAATTAATAATTAATTATCGTATTGTTTGATTTGTCTTTTTGCTCATCGTTAAATATTCATTATGAAGAGAGGTTGTTATTTATACAATAAAATTGTGCAAAATGTGCACCAAATGACATTCGTCAGATTCTATCTCATGAAAATATGCTTTGACAAGAGAGACACTTTATATCTCCTTACCCTGCGGGTATGATTTATCTCTAAAAATACCACATGGAAAATAGATGTAAAGAATTCTAACACAATGCAACCGGTAGTCGTTCAATTTAATATCTTGTTATAAAAATATTTTGTTAATAAAATATCTTTAATTTTTTTTCTAAAAAGAATTCATAATTACACTATTTTATATGATTTCGAAAAATGTTTTCTTTAAGGTTACCATTCTAGAAGCATTTCAGAGAGTTTTTTGTTCATCTCGGAAATTAAATGCAGATAGAGAATCTGATTTTTATTATTTATTTTCTCGTAGTCAGGTAGCAGATGAACTGAACAATAAAAGCAGATTTAAATTTCCTTATGAATAAAATAGATAAAAATTTGTCAGAATAAAAATTCCAGAGGTGATAAATCTTCTCCGAGAGTTCTTTACAGTTAGACCGCTTTCGGGAGAACTCACAGAATGCTGCCTCACTCCTCACTTTTATATGCGAGAGTTAGGGGGCGGAGCTTCCCTACTCCAACCTCTGGTAGGTGGAGGGGTTGCGCCTGCGCTGTTCGCGTCAATATCAATCACATACCAGGAGCGTATGATTATGTCCCGGTGTCCCAAATAAATCTACATACTAATTCTTTTAACTCTAGTTCAACAAATGATAGAAAATTACTAATTCCTTGTTATGCAAGTATAATAATAAAATACAAACAATAATATTAAAATAGAAACAATAATAATAAATAGAAATATTCAGTCAATGAAAATAAAGGGTTCGATTAATTTAATAAAGATAATTGTTTTTCAAGTTTTTTTATTTTTCAGTTACAAAAGAATAGTCTTAGCGTAATAAAAAGGAGAGCTATTTCATTAAAATAAATTTCTTTATTAAGCTCTTTCGTACATGGTGCCTCCTATAACATTTCCCCCTGGTCCATAATTGCAGACTAATAAAACTGTGTTTTGATTTCCATTCATATAATTAACATAACCACATCCAACCCTCGTACTTGCTGCCCATAACATTTGTGAGTAATGTCCAGTCTCTCCTGTAAATCTATAAACGACAATATTATTAACAATCAAAATGCAATTAATACAAAATTCAATTAATATTTATACTCATTGAAAGTGTTGTTTACAATTAAACTCAAAACAATATGAAACAGTCATTAAAAAATTTATGTTCACTCACCTGAAGGGTTTAATTTGGTTTGGATTGAATTTAGCTACCTCATCATACAACATTGTTATCAAACCTTTTATTGACAAAGGATTAGAACCTGTTGTCCATGCCATAGCTACGTTTTGACCAACACCGAAACGGCCTGAAAAAAGAAAATTATTTTATTCAAATAAACAAAATATACTTTTTAATTTATTCCTGCTTTTTTGAATTAGGATAAAAATAATTTTTTGGCAATACTTACGAACATTTCTACAAGTATCATGGCCAAATTTACATTGATTAGCCCATCTTTGTGCGACGTTTGCGATTTCACTGTCCCAAGCCTTAGAGAATTAAAATATTCAAATGTCAAAATTAAAAGTATAAATTCTTCATACTGATTATAAAAATATTATAAAAATATAATTGAAATAATAGTTACAATAGAAAATAGAAAATTAAAATAATAGAATTAATTTAAAAAATAAATTAAAATCATAGAATTAATTTGAAAAATAAATTAAAAGGGTGTTAAGGTCGATTCCATTTTTTATCTTTTAAATTTTTCCCTTACCATATTTGGCATATTTCTTGCTCGTGGTTGTGGTCCAGGGTTTCCTCGTCCTTCATTTCCTTTAGCGACTCGCTGTCTAAATTCATTATGTATATTTACAATTTCGTTTTGTTGTGCGGATGTTAAATAAGCTACTTTTGCACTACATACATTTTGTGGATTCTATTTGGAGAAGAAAATTATTAAAACAACTATCAAGAAGATAATTCATTCTATTCTCACATCTAGTTAAAAGGAAAAATACTACAAAAAAAAAATTCTAGAATTTAATTCTATATACAGTCAGATACAAAATATGTAATTATATAAAAAAAAGAAAAAATCTATAAAAAGAAAAGTTTATTTTTGTAAAGAAATAAAAATTGATAACTGAAGTCGTCAATATAACATGGTTGCCACAGGTCAGGGAATTCAGGGAAAAGTCAGGAAAAGTAAAATTGGTCAGGGAAATCAGGAAAAAGTCAGGGATTTTTAGTACAAGTACTGGAAAAAATTGGATTTTTAAAATTCATGATAAAACTCTGAATTTTGATGTTTTTTTTGTTTGCCTCGTAAACTATGAAATTACCACGAATTTTAATACAAAACCTTCAATTTTTTCTATTTCTGACAATAATTTCTTTTTAAATAACAAATGTTTCAATTCAATTCCAGAAATTCAATTATTTTCAAATGTTATAAAAATTCATCGCAGAATTTCAATTATGTTCAAAAATTTTAAAAAATTCTTGTCAAAATTTTAATTATCTTTATAAATAATAAAATTCTTCATCGAAATTCAATTATTTAAAAAAATTTTAATAAGTTTCTTGTCAAAATTTCACAGGAATTCAATTATTCAATTTTTAATAAATTTCTTCAAAATAATTCAATTATTTTCATACATAATAAAATTTTCACAGGAATTCAATTATTTAAAATACAAAATTTCATAAAATTTTTCAAAAAATATCAATTATTTAAAAACATTTTTATAAAATTCGTCCCAAGAATTCAATTATTTAAAAAAATTTAACAAAGTTCTTTTCAAGAATTCTATTATTTTTATAAATAATAAAATTCTTCTCCGAAATTCAATTATTTTGGAAAAAATTTTAATAAAATTCTTGGGAAAATTTCACAGGAATTCAAATATTTACAAAATTATTAATAAAATTTAATCGAAATAATTCAATTATTTTTATAAAAAATAAAATTTTCACAGGAATTCAATTATTTAAAATACAAAATTTCATAAAATTTTTCAAAAAATATCAATTATTTAAAAAGATTTAAATAAAATTCGTCGCAAGAATTTAATTATTTAAAAAAATTTAAGAAATTTCTTTTCAAAAATTCAATTCTTTTTATAAGTAATAAAATTCTTCACCGAAATTCAATTATTTTTATAAAATTGAAAAAAATCCTTGCAAGAATTCAATTATTTATATAAATAATAAAATTCTTTACAGAAATCCAGTTATTATTATAAACTTGAATAAAATTCGTTGAAAGAATTAAATTATTTTCAAAAGTAATAAAATTCTTCGCAGAAATTCAATTATATCAGAAAAATTTTAATAAAATTCTTGGGAAAATTTTAATTATTTTCATAAATCATAAATAAATAAAATAAATTTTAATAAAATTTTTGGCAAAATTTCACAGGAATTCAATTATTTAAAATACAAAATTTCATAAAATTTTTCAAAAATTATCAATTATTTAAAAATATTTTTATAAAATTCGTCGCAAGAATTCAATTATTTTAGAAAAATTTTAATAAAATTCTTAAGAAAATTTTTCATTACTTTCATAATTAGTTAAACTCATCGCAGGATTTTAATTATTTTTGATACAATATTTTAATCGAATTCCTCGAAAAATGTAATTATTCTTAAAAATTTTATTAAAATTTGTCAAAAGAATTCAATTATTTAATAATTTATTGATAAAATTCTTTATGAGAATTCATTTTTAACAAACATTCAATTATTCAATAAATTATTTTTTATTATTATTTTTTAATTTAAATAATTGAATTCTTGAAGAATTTTCTAATAAATATTTATGATTTAAAAATGTATTACCGAATAGTCGATTTATTATTTTTGAAAATAATTGAATTATTCCAAAGAATTTTATTACATTTTTTTCTAAATAATTGAATTTTTTTGGGAAATTTTACTACTTGTAAAAATAATTGTATTCTTGTGAAGGATTTTATTAGGATTATTGTAAATATTTAACTTTTTTTTGAAAAATTTTATAATAATTTAAATTATTACAAAACATGAAGAAGGCGATTACTTTGAGTCGAAGACTCGGAGTAATCGCCTTCTTCATGTCTTGTAATAATATTCTTATAAGGTGTTGAATTTCAAAAAGGTTTGAATTTGAATGTTTTGAAGAATTTTAATTCCTACAGAAAAATAATAATGATTAAATATTTATTGAAAAAAGAAGTTATTGATGTTTTTGAATAATTTTACTTTTGAAGAAATTTGTAAATAAATATAGTAGAACATTTTTTTGAGTATCTAATAATTTTGAGAGTGAATCAGAATATTCTTTAGGGTCAGGGAAAAAGTGAAAATTTTTTCTGGAAATCAGGGAAAAGTTAGGGAAAAATAAAATTAAATATTTGTGGCAACCCTGTATAAGTTGTAAAAAAGAGAATATAAAAAGTGACTCAGAACAATATTTCACACTGCAAAAACTAGCGTCTTCGAAACGTCTTATTTTAAGACATTAGACGTTTTGAAAACGTCTAGTCTGGAATAAATGACTAATTCATCTGTCTTTCATGCAAAGTGTCTAAAAATTTGAGACACTTCTTGCGTCTTACAAATGTAAACAAGTCACTTTCAGTGCTTATAATTTAAGACATATAATGTAGACGGTAAAAGTGTCTACATTTAAGTCATTTTTGCTAATTTAAGACGTTTTCGAAGTAAGACACTTTGAATAAAAGACATTTTGTGTATTCGAGTATCTTCGGTAATATTCGTCTTGCCTCGTCTCGATGAAAGTTTCCCGCGCAATATCAATGCATACATGCATTTTTAGGTTATGTATCGATTCAAGCAGAAATTTCATCTGAATGAAGACACTTTAAACGTCTCCAAAATAGTCACTTTTAACGTCTTCCTGAAAGACATCCCAAAACGTCTTACAAATGAGGACAAAAGTGTCTCAAATATAGACACCTGTTTTTGCAGTGCAAGTATTTCGATATTATTCTAAATAGTTGTTAAATTTTTATTCTCTACTTACCGTAAAGCGGCACATGGTGTGATCTCGACAAATGTTGCAATAGTCATTTTGTCCATTAATTTGAACAACAATTGTTAAAATTGTAAAAAGAAAACAAAGACTGCGTAACAATGGCATTATGTATGTGCTTCGAGCAATGAGGTTGACTTGATTTGCTATTTCAACCACAACAACTTACTCATGCACTTCTCTGACGTTCTTTTATACCTGCATTCTTTATGCTCCTTCTAATTATTGCAATTTCTTAGCGTACAACTTTATCAGGTACATATTATCATAAAATAAACATTGACTCGACTTTCCTTGAATGTTAAAATTGTGTGTTGTCAGAGGAGGTAAAGTGCAATTAGTACGATAACATTATTCACGAAAAAATGTTTAGTTTTCAACAACGTCATATTTGTTTTAAATTTCCACTTTGATGTCCATTCACAGATAATACACTTTTATGTGAGGGAGGAGGAAATGAATTTTCATGATCATTTTCATTTTTAATTATAAAAAAAAAATGTTTCGCAGATTCACTCTGGTTCCTATAGTCTAAAGATTTTTTCTTATTCTCTATACATTAAAAAAAAATTATTTGTAATTGAAAAAGGTGTTTCATGTCGTCATATCGCCGAATGCCAAAGAAAAGACAATTTTTTTTTCAGAGTATACTGTGTTTTTTATAAAAATAAAATAAACTTACTTTATTCACACCGTGCGTACGAGACTAGTGAAAATCCAGTCTCGTGAGTTTATAAATAAATTCGAAAATTTTCAGTTTTGGATTAATAGTGTAACAGTGAACTTTTGTGAATTACAACATTCAGAAAAATAATTTATATAATAATTTATTAAAATATAAAAAAAAAATTATTCTAGTATCAAAATATTTTTGTCTTCTACAATAATAAGAAAACCAATTCTATTTTTATGGATAAAATACGTAATATTTCCAATTTATTTGTAATTATTTCTATATTTATCTATTATATTAGGTAATAATATTTTTATTCATAGTTTTAACATTATTTACTTTTATATTAAACAAATAAGGAACATTTTTAAATAAACGTTAAAAACAAGGAAAAAATAGAGACGATTAAAATGTAACTATTTAACACAAACAATAATTATCATTTTCCTTTAAAATTTTATAAAGATTAAAAAATGGAAAATATTTAGTTCTAATTTACGGAATTTCTAAATAAACTCAAACTGTTTTTTTGATAAATTATTACAAAAATTAATTATACGGATTATTTACAATTTTTGGATAAAAAATGCTAATGTATTCAACATATATCAGTTACGTAATAAAGCAGTAAACATAACAAAAAATTAAAAATCATTACGGACCATTTACGAACAAAAGAGAACATTTTCCTTACAACTATAAATTAAATTTTTCCATGTTTTATAATAATTAAAGATGTCCGAAAGATAAAATCATTATTCTATATTATAAGAATATTGATACTGTAACTTCTTCAATAATTATTTTCATCATTTTAATTAAATTATTATTTTCAAAAAATTTTAAGTAAAATTTTTTAATTAAAATTTCTTTGACAATTTTCAAATCCATTTGTTTACAATATTCAATATAACGAAATTTCAATTATTCGTAAATTCTTCAATATATATATTAGAAAATAAAAACTTCAAATAATATAAAACAAAGTTCAATTAACCTTTTTCAAAGAAATTAATTTCAAAATTCAATTATTTCTAAAAATTCACGCTATAATGCTTTTAATATTCAATTATCCAAAATTTTAACTGAAATTCATTTTTTAATTAATTTTTATTACAATTCAATTATTTAAATACAAAAATAAATAATTTATTGCATTATTGAATATTTCTTTAAATTGAATTCTCAAAGAGTTTTACCAAAAAAATTTTTTAATTGATAACGAATTTTAATAAAATTTTTAAGGATAATTACATTTTTCGAAGAATTCGATTAAAATTATTGTATTAAAAATAATTAAAATTCTTTGATGAGTTTTATTATTTATGAAAATAATTGAATTCCTAAAAAGAATTTTATTATTTACGAAAATAATTAAGGTGGTGGGTGCTATAAGGGGACACCCGCAAATGTTAAGTGAATGGCGCTTATTCCCTTATAGCACCAGCCCCTCAATTGAATCCCAATAAAAATATTATTATTTATGAAAATAAAAAAAATGAATTATTGCGAAGAAATTTATAAAAAGAATTTCTAAATAATTGAATACCTGTGAAATGTTTATTATTTTATGAAAATAATTAAATTTTTTTTAAATAATTATATTCTTTTGTAAAAATTTTATTTAAATAGTAGATATATTGGAAAACATTAAAATGAGGAACATTTTTGAAAATAATTGAAATTTTGCCAAGATTTTTATTAAAATTTTTGAAAATAATAGAATTTCAGAGAAGAATTTAGCGTAATGAAAAGGAGAGCTATTTCATTAAAATAAATTTCTTTATTAAGCTCTTTCGTACATGGTGCCTCCTATAACATTTCCCCCTGGTCCATAATTGCAGACTAATAAAACTGTGTTTTGATTTCCATTCATATAATTAACATAACCACATCCAACCCTCGTACTTGTTGCCCATAACATTTGTGAGTAATGTCCAGTCTCTCCTGTAAATCTATAAACGAGAATATTATTAATAATCAAAATGTAATTAAATCATTTATTGCACTCTAAATTTGTATGTAAAGATTGAATTATATTTAATATAATTAAAATTATATTTTAATAGGTACAATTGAAATTATATTTTAATATAAAATCAGTAATAATAATAAAATAAAGTAATACAAAATTCAATTAATATTTAAACTCATTGAAAGTGTTGTTGCTGGTTACAATTAAACTCAAAATAATGTGAAACAATCATTAAAAAATTTATGTTCACTCACCTGAAGGGACTAATTTGGTTTGGACTGAATTGAGCTACCTCATCATACCACATTGTTATCAAATCTCTTATTGACGATGGATTAGAACCTGTTGTCCATGCCATAGCTACGTTTTGACCAACACCGAAACGGCCTGAAAAAAGAAAATTATTTTATTCAAATAAACAAAATATATTTTTTAATTTATTCCTGCTTTTTTGAATAAGGATAAAAATAATTGTTTGATAATACTTACGAACATTCCTGCAAGTATCATGGCCAAATGTACATCGATTAGCCCATCTTTGTGCGACATTTGCAATTTCAAGGTCCCAAATCTTAGAGAATTAAAATATTCAAATGTCAAAATTAAAAGTAGAAATTCTTCATACTGATTATAAAAATATTATAAAAATATAATTGAAATAATAGTTACAATAGAAAAAAATAAATTAAAATAATAGAATTAATTAAAAAAATTAATTAAAATCATAGAATTAATTTGAAAAATAAATTAAAAGGGTGTTAAGGTCGATTCCATTTTTTATCTTTTAAATTTTTCCCTTACCATATTTGGCATATTTCTTGCTCTTGGTTGTGGTCCAGGGCTTCCTCGTCTTTCATTTCCTGTAGCGACTCGCTGTCTAAATTCATTATGTACATTTACAATTTCGTTTTGTTGTGCGGATGTTAAGGAAGCTACTCTTGCATTACATGCATTTTGTGGACTCTATTTGGAGAAGAAAATTATTAAAACAACTATCAAGAAGATAATTCATTCTATTCTCACATCTAGTTAAAAGGAAAAATACTACAAAAAAATTTTTCTAGAATTTACTCCTATATACAGTCACATACAAAATTTGTAAATATAATAAAAAAAAAATCTTAAAAAGAAAAGAAAATTTATTTTTGTAAAGAAATAAAAATTGATAACTAAAATCGTCAATATATACAGGGTTGCCACAAGTCAGGGAAGTCAGGGAAATTAGGAAAAAGTCAGAGATTTTTAGTAAAAGTACTGGAAAAAATTGAATTTTTAAAATTCATGATGAAACTCTGAATTTTGATGTTTTTTTTTGTTTGCCTCGTAAACTATGAAATTACCACGAATTTTAATACAAAACCTTTAATTTTTTTCTATTTCTGACAATAATTTCTTTTTAAATAACTTAATTTTTCAAGAACTATCATAAAATTATGACATAAAAATTAATTAATGAATAATTTTTAAATTAAGGAAGATTTCGACTATATCAGCAATTAGTGACATCTATTAGACGTCAATTGAACTCTTTGGTTTAGAGTCAGGTGTTATTCTTAAGATAATTATTCATGGTAATAATGGCATGGTGCATTGGTAGGCGTTAGTCCCGCGAAAGGCAGCTATTAACTGGGGTTCGAGTCCTCACAGATGCACAGTGCAGTCGTTCACGCAGCTTATTTTTTCAGATCAAAAATTAAATTCAAAAATATAATTATTTACCGACAACCATATCGGAATAATTATCTTAAGAATAACACCTGACTCTAAACCAAAGAGTTCAATTGACGTCTAATAGATGTCACTAATTGCTGATATAGTCGAAATCTTCCTTAATTAAAAATTCTCAATCAGCAAATAATTTCCTACATTAACTATACAGCTCTTCGACTAGTGTATGGGCTTGATCTGAGATTATAAGAAACGTGAACGTCCAGGCTGTGTTGGCATGGTGCATTGGTAGGCGTTAGTCCCGCGAAAGGCAGCTATTAACTGGGGTTCGAGTCCTCACAGATGCACAGTGCAGTCGTTCACGCAGCTTATTTTTTCAGATCAAAAATTAAATTCAAAAATATAATTATTTACCGACAACCATATCGGAATAATTATCTTAAGAATAACACCTGACTCTAAACCAAAGAGTTCAATTGACGTCTAATAGATGTCACTAATTGCTGATATAGTCGAAATCTTCCTTAATTAAAAATTCTCAATCAGCAAATAATTTCCTACATTAACTATACAGCTCTTCGACTAGTGTATGGGCTTGATCTGAGATTATAAGAAACGTGAACGTCCAGGCTGTGTTGGCATGGTGCATTGGTAGGCGTTAGTCCCGCGAAAGGCAGCTATTAACTGGGGTTCGAGTCCTCACAGATGCACAGTGCAGTCGTTCACGCAGCTTATTTTTTCAGATCAAAAATTAAATTCAAAAATATAATTATTTACCGACAACCATATCGGAATAATTATCTTAAGAATAACACCTGACTCTAAACCAAAGAGTTCAATTGACGTCTAATAGATGTCACTAATTG